GGGGGGTTAGGTGGGAAAAGCCTTAAGATTTGACTGGGGCCGAGAATAAGCCCTAGAGTCCCGAGGGCTTAGTGCCGCTTAATACTAAAAAATACTGTTGCCATGACACAGAAAAGATTTTAGACGTGACGAAAGATAAATTCGCGAGAACCGAAAATGTTTGACAGTACGCATAGGCAGTTTCATGCGCGAGTCCTTCAACAGATAGCTCATTTTTTTTTGCCTTTGTTGGTTCACTCAGGGCATTTTCCAGGTATGGTCCGACGTCCCCGACGAAAAAGTGGGCGTCTTCGGGGTTCGGGCGTCGCTCAAAATATATCGAAAAAGTTCCGGGGGGGGGGGGGAACCGGGGGGGGGGGGTGAACCCCCGAAAAATAAGACAATTTAGGGGTTTCAAAGACTTATTTAGTCGATTTAAGAGTCTACTAATATGTACATACAACACATATTTTTGCTCCCCAACGAATTGTAGTCTTTCTCCCCGATGGAGGGGGGGGGGGAGGAACAGTCTGCCCAGTAATGAAATACTCACTTAACTGCATTTAACAAAGTTCTGAGATAATAAAAAAAAACGTGTTATTGTCTTCGCTCTCTCCATGCGTAAATAATTAAATTCTTATTTTCACACGATTTTAGAGGTTTTATTAGTACTGTTTATTAGACCTTGTGTTTTTAATTACTCTATATAATATGCAATATGTCACATTATTTTTTTTTCATGTCTTACCGGGTCAATCACATATAAGAAAAACACTCAACTGCATTTTGTCATGAAAGAATGAACTCAACTACAGTATTTATTGAATATAAAAACACGTTATATTAGTAAATAATATTACTTTAAGATGACAAGTGACATTATATCAACTTTTGTGAGTAATTTAGGGTTAGGCCTATTTTTTTTTACTATGATGGCAGAGGCATAGAATAGAATACAGAAGCACGCATACTCAATATAGCACCCTGTTTAATCGTCTTTTATCATTTTTAACAATTTTTTTTCTATGTTTCTTTTTTCAGAAATTCATCCTATTTTGCCTTTCACAAAAAGTTCAATATCAAGTAGAAGAACAATATATGTTGAACTGTATGCAAAATATAATAATAATAATAAAAATAATAATGATAGTAATAATAATAATAATAATAATAATAATAAATAATAATAATGACAATGACAATGACAAAAATATTTATTTCCTTTGAGCATAACAATTTACGAAAAATATAAATGTACAACATTTTTAAAGGTCAAAGAAAATTGGAAATTCCTGAAGCATAGCTTGTAAATGGAAATCCCAAATTACATAATTAAATATTTCTTTTACATATAAGGTTCCAAAATAATTCAAAGGCCTATTTTACTTAAGAAATAATGATGTTCTTTACGTTCCTTTAAGTAGAGTCAATATTTTAAAAAAAACGGGTTTATTAGTAGATTAAGTTCCTCGTATAACAAGTTAGTTCAGGACTATCCGTCTTTAGATTTATTTAACTCCAATCTGCACATTTTCCGTCGTAGCGTTTTAGGCGTGATTAGTTAAAATTAATTTTGTTTGTGTTTCTGTTTCCGTCGTCTCGTCCTTTGTTAACCATACTGTAAGTGACGGATTTGTGTCCGCTGTCGTTTTGGTGAATAAATAAATAAAATATATAAATGAAGAATGTGTGGCTGTACGGCTTCACTTACATAATGAAATGCATAAAGCAGAAGTGTAATGTTGCCATAACTTTACGTGGAGAAACTAAACGTTTTCAGGCATCCCCCTACATCAGTGCGGGGGTAATTAGTAATACATGATTTACATGGTCTATTAATATAATTACATAAATTACACAATTTATCACTCGTACAATGATTAAAATATTCCTAAAGATAGACATTTCATTCAATATGTTAAAGCATTTTATTTATGTAAACATGTTTTTATTGTTAATTGCATTTTACATGATTGTGTCTTTCTCTTTCATTTTGTGTAGGGATTTTTTTTGTTTTGTTTTGCAATTAATAAACAAAATGTAATGATTACATTTTATGTGTAATGGTTGTATTTAATTTGATAATAAAGATAGCCTTATAAAGACAATTGGTATCGAATCCCACCTAAAGAAACTCTTTTCATCCAACTGAATAAAATATCCCGGTGCTATGCAGCAACATTGGTGTAATTTGTATACTAAACATTATTAATATTTCGATAAGTAATAAGTTATTAGTTATTAATTGAAAAGTAGAAAACAATTACCTCAAAAACTGATTTTGTTTTTAATATGTGTATATCGCTAATCACCTAAAAACCTTATTTTTTATATAGCGCCCTCTGCGGCAAACGTTCGCGAGTTCTTAAGTCATTGGGCTTATTCGACTGGTTCATTTCGTTGAGTACAAATTTTCGTTGACTTTTATTTTCATTTGACTGGTCCGTAAAAATAGACTTCGTTGACAACGAACATTAACATAACCAGAATGCGTTAATCAGCGTTAAGTTATGCACGTGGCCAAAAGAATATGGCCGATTGGTTGGTTTAGCCACAACATTTGCGTTAATATAATTTAGATTAAATTTCAGAAAACATAAATTACAATATTTACCCACAATGAAGTCAAAAAATAATTGTAGGCTAACAGAATTCAAAAACTGAATGAAAACATTTTTTTATTAAAAACCCATACTGAACGCTGCTTGTAGGTTTTTTTCGTAAACTACAATGGTATTTTTCATACATTTTCAAGGTTTATCGTAGATCTCTTAAAAATGTATTGGGACGTTGTACCACCTAATCATGTGTCTCCTAAGCAATAACTGGATTCTGTTTTGATGTTTTGTTTCAATATAAAAACATGATTGTTTATGCGTCAAAAGTCGTCTGATAAGAGGCCTACAACAGGAATCCATTTGAAAAATTTTAATGGACGACGAAAGTTTCTACTATTTTTACGGGGCTGTAATTAATACAATACATATTATTAGAACAGACTAGAGGTTGTGAAAGCTGTACAAACATGTACAATATGAAGTACATGCACAGTTTCTGTTTTTCATTATGATTTGGTGGAAAGTAGACAGGTGTGTGGTTATAGCGGAAAACGACTGGTCGAATAATTCTATTATTCGCAATTTTTTCCCCTGAGATTCACACTAGAACATTGATGGGTAAATTGCGAAGACTATGTATGTTTAATGTGACATTTTCAAGCAATATTGAACTTTAAATGAAAGCATGATAAATAATTGTGATACATTAACGCAACACGCCAAAGACGTAGGATGATGCAATAAGAGCTTTCTAATAGCCTATATGTTTTGCACGATGATATTCAATTTGTGGCACAGTAGCTCATTGTCATTACACACTGGCAAACGACTTATTTAAAATTACAATTTATTTTGATAAGACAAGTCGCCAACCGCAATTAATACAATGAAAGTTGGTAATAGACTATATTTACCATGAGTTTTACAAAATAATATCGTAATACTAAAATTTGTTTAGGCCTATTGACTAAAATGCAATTATGCTGGTGTTATTTTGACACACAAATAAAGATACAGTATTGTGAATTGATATATTAGTCTATAGCCATTAAATCCTAATATTAGGTATCAATATCCTAAAAATATGTTAGTTATTATTCATTCAACAACAAACAATAATAATGAAGCTAAATTATAATAATGATGATGATGGTAGATGATGATTATAATGATAATGATGGCAGTAGACGACGACATTGGCGATGATGATGATAATGATGAAAATGGTGGCGACGATGCTAATGAAAATGATAATGTGGTTATTATTTAGGATGTTGAGGAGGATAATAAAAATTCTTCATGAATTTACATACTTTGATTTAAGTAAAATTGTTGAAAAGTCCTACAGTAAACCACACCAGACCTGTTTACGCTAGTTAATATTTTGTGCATTATTTTAATGGAAAATAAAATCATGGATTTTAAAACAAAATCTTAAATTGTGGCAAAGGAACTGCGTCTTTAATACGAACGTATTCTGAATTGAGATTTTTTTAAAATATATTTTCTCAGTTGTTGAAGTGAAAAAGGCCTAGTGCAATGGAAGAAACATTTTCACACCCTCTCATGATTCCTTCACCTAAATATAAAATACACAGACCTTTACAAGGAAATGTATTGGCCCTTCAAAATTATCACTTCTCTGCTGAAAATAGATTTATAATAACATTTTGGATTATTTGTGTGTGTGTGTGTGTGTGTATGTGTGTGTTGGGAATAGAGACGTCTTTCCCGAAACAGATGATTTTTCCAACTTAACACTTGTTCACGTCACGGAGAGCGAGACGAGGCCAATTTATGTACCTGTACGACAACTCACCTATCACTCGACAGTCTTGACTATTAATGTAGAACGTTTATGTCCTTACATATACTTATACTGTACTTGATCATGACTATTATTATTCAAACTGGCCGAATTTTATCGCCCACAACACCTATTCTGTATCACTCACTGTTGTTCTCGTTGTATTTCCGTCATAAACGGAATATAATAATGTATTGTTTTGCGCGTGTTCCACGTATCTCCCAGGGTTTGATAGGCATATGCATATTATAGAGCTAAGGTAAGTATGCTATTAATGTATTCTAAAAACCAGTAAAAATTCAATATTGTTATATTGAAAAAATATCGATTATATTTTCCATATCAACATTTTTACTTGGAGAAAGGTTGGTAAAACCATGGCGAAACCGCGTTTGTGCAAATGTATGTGAACAGTCAGTATTAATATTTATCATCTCACTATTGCCTGACCTCTCAGGGCCCCCGTTGCTGCAGAAATACCGTGGATACCAAAAGCGAGCCTCAACTGTAAAGCATAGCTTGCATATCTGTCTTATGTTACGAATAGCGTTTACATGATTCGATAGCTGTTCCGAGTGACTCTCCAAGCCTAACGCACCAAAAGCTAAGTGAACGCAAACCCGTTCACCCATTGGCCAACACGAGCGTGTTTGATGTTCGCGTTTCGGCAGACGGTCGCTTCATCGCCACATGTCAGGTAAGATATTTAAGAGGGGAAAATAATTTACTCAGTGTTTTTCGATGATTTGTGTTAGGTTGTTGCAAAAATTAACCGCAACTCTATTTGATACATTAGTTTATTTTCGAAAGGACATTGCTTTGTAATGTCTACACTACTAGGGACCGACAATGTAATGGCTATAGCAGACCTTAATTTCAGTAAACATGGAATACACCTACTAACGCTAATATTTTTGGGAGACGTGTGAACAACACCCCCCCCCCCTAGCGCACTTGATACGCCACTGACTATAGGCCTACTTTATAGCATTACGTAGGCCTAGTATTCGTAGAATAGTACTGCAGTCAATAGTATTACTACAGAGTAGCATTGTTTAGCTCTATATGTTTGTATATTATACTCTATATTGGCATACATTCATGCATACATGCGCCGTGCCGATTACATTAAATATGATATAATCTTAGCCTCCCCCGGAATAGTCCGATAGGCCCGCCTATATCGACCTATATATGCTGATTTTGTTTATCCATTTTCGGTACACTCAATGTAGGCCTATGACATCGCATATATATGTGTATCTGTCTCTTATACACATCTAGATGTGTATAAGAGACAGTATATATATATCGTAACTAGTGTTGTTCCGTCATAATAAACGACTTACGTATACCTATTTATTCAATTCACATTCACTTTTTGTCTATAATCGTAAATAGAATGTCGAATTTCATTAACGTATTATAATTTGCGCGCTTATTCCATGGTCACTGTTTAATCATGCTTTTGGATTTGATTATACAGCACTTAGGCGGTGATGTTGGGCTTGCTAATTATCTATATGTTCGACTACTAACAAAAGAGAAAGTAGTGTAAGCCAAAGGCCTGCTATCAGGAGACATAATGTGAACACATGATTGTATCGACTTGAGTTGTAGTTTAGGGGACTGTCTACGGTGAATACTAATATTAAGCTAATCCATTCACACAATATAGCAAGGATTGTAAGCTGCCATTGACTAGGTTAAATTATGGCAGATCACAGTAAAACCCTAGTGCATAGGCCTACATCTCACGTTTCAATAAATGCGTACTTATCATATTATAATTACGCGACTACTATTAGGCCTATCACTAAAACTAGAGCAGTCGTGTATTGGCGATTCCGTTATTTTTCTTTTATATTCGAGGAAAATTCGAATTTCTATGACCTTGATCTTGTCTTCCTAAAAGTTAATCAAATATTTTTTATAGTTTGATGAAGATTCATCTCTCCCGGATGTTAATTGTGTTATAGACCTATAATTCGTAAACTTTGAAACACAAGATAACTTTTTAGCGCCTACGCTGATGTCATCTGGTCTTGTGACATCACGATTCCCGTCATTGAACAGGGGCTTTGCTAGACCCTTTCGCCTTTGTCAGTTCATTAATTATGTTGCTCTCATCTCTTTCTTAAATTATTATGTCCTATTCCACTAATTTTATGATCACCCATTCCAGTTTTTGTGCAATCCTTTTAACAGTCAGATAGGCAGACAGGGCTAAATACCTATACGAGCCTCGATTTTTGGCGGAAGGAGTTAATGCTACCACTGATCTCTACTTTAACTTTACAACTTTCCTTTATTGACATTCATCAAACATAATAATTGTCAAATTGTACAAAAAGTATATTAAATTAGACATGAAATATTGCGGTACAAAAATGTAATAATAATAGCTACAGTAGGAGTGTTCATTGGCTGGTTTTAGTAAAGCCACTAGTGCCATGTTGGGGAGCCTACCTAAAACGTAACGAATACGTCATCACAAAGCAAAAACATTAGGACCACCAACAGCGGAAACTGCAAAAAGTTAGAGGATGTAAAAAAAAAATCATATTTTTTTTATTAATAAGTATTGCAAGAATCGTTATTTTTAACAATAATTTAAACAAATTCCATGAAAAGCTTGTCTACACTGTACCTCTCAGTGGCTCTTGCATGGCGTCGGTGGCTTTTCTTCACATTTTTTTTCCTGTATAATGATGGCAGTGGTGGCGCCAGGACCTGCCCGACGGAGGGGCTAAAGGCCCCGACGGGGGGGGGGCTAGTGGAGCGAATCGAGTCTCACTTGGCTGGGGGCCAGGGGCCGCCTAGGTCCCCCGGCGGGCGAAGCCCCCTGGAAGCCACGGATATTTGATGAATTATGGCGAATTTTTATTACTTATTTGATAGGCATCGAGTTACTATAATATGACGTCATGTAGGCTATGCTTTCTAATGTTGAAATCAGCTTCCAAAACCAAAACATTTTGAATAAAGCAAGAAACAAAGAGTATGCAATGTAACCATATAATTTATTTTCAAATCCTCATTCTTAAGTAAAATTCTATATTTTGGAAATTTTGCATGAAATCTTTCAACCACGCTGTCATGGTCGAGGTTGCTTCACATCACGATGTATTCCAACCATCATGAGGCTATCTAAATGAGCATTTGTCATTACAGAACGCAAATTATTTTTAATTAGTCTTATTGAATTATTATTATTATTATTATTATTATTATTATTATTATTATTATTATTGTTGTTGTCGTTGTGATGAAAAGTTAACACAAACAATATGGTGGCTAAACGAATATTACCTGTAAATATTTTTTTATTTATTTGTTCCCCGACAAAATTTATCGTCTTTCCCGACGGGGGGGGGGGGGGGGGGGGGGGTTTCCCCCCCCCCCTGGCGCCACCACTGAATGATTGGCCAATGAGCAATCCAGCCAATCCAGCCGAATAAACACGGGCTCATCGAGATGATGCCACTTTATGACTGTATGTGACGTCACTGCGTTTTTATTTAGTGTGCAAGGATCAATAATCGCAGACCACTGCAATTATAAGCGCGTTGTAAATTTCAGACGTAAACACTTGCTGTAAATCTGCAACGCAAGCCTACTAAATTTCTGAGTTTCCAAGTTACAGCTTTGCACGTTGCCTTTTCTTTATGGGTCTGCGTATTTCTAGATAATTAATCTTCCTTAGGTGAACGCGAGTTAGTGTCTGCTCAGAATCAGGCGTAATACGTTATACGTAGCCTATAACAAACATGATTAGTGTCAAACTGTGCATAAATTTTACCTGTATTATCTCTTTGACGTAATAGATGTAAACTTTATTCCATGATGTTCATACAATCAATGCTGTACTTCCTTGCTAAAATATAATTGAAAACGTGTCTTCCACG